TGGTTGGCACCTTTACCTTGATGATCTTCGAGAGTCGGGTTGCGTCTGGTGTTTCCCTAATGACTGCGAAAATGTTATGTACTACAGTCAGTCGACCCCGTTAACCGTACCAAAAACCGAGCCATCATACTGGTCACACCAGCACCAAAACACCAGTCTCCTATCGGACCATATGTGTTCTCGACTGTTGTCTTTTGCAACGCGGTACCGAACCAGTTGTTACCTTCAGTAGTGAGTTCACTGTTGCTTTGAAAGTATTGTTGGGATACTGTGGGTGGTTGCGAAAGTTTCATGGACGGGGCGGCAGATGGAATCATACGCGGTTTCATTGACGGAAAGACGGGTGCAACCATACTTGGTTTAGTTGATGGCTTCGATGATGGAAACATACTTGGTTTAATTGATGGCTTCGAAGATGGCGAAATGCTTGGCTCGATTGATGGATTGGAAAATGGAGCGATCTTCACTTGCAGCAGCTGTTGGAGACAAACTTGGTACTCTCGATGGTGATCTCGACGGTGCCCCTGAGGGCGAAAGAGTTGGTCCGACCACCGGAGACAGTGCTGGAGCCAGTGTTGGTAATGAAGATGGTTTGCTGGAAGGATGTACACTGGGCGTATCGAATGGCACAGCAGTTGGGCTAAATTCTTGGGATTACAGTTGGACTTGCAGTTGGTGGAGGCGTTGGATCAACTACGGGAGCCAAGGTAGGTCTCAATGATGGAGCTGATGTGGTGACTCTTGGTGGTGAAGAGCTTGGGGCTTGAGTGATGGTTCGAATGGGACTTGACGATGGAGCCGTTGATACATATTGATTTTCAACTTTGACCAATCGCACCTCGTAGAATGAATCGTCCTAACCGACTGGATCTTTCAAGTTGTCACCGGCTCGTCCTCCTTCGTTCAATAACTCGTCGAATTGATCAAAGGTTAGAAGGACAAGATCTGATTCTTCAACAGTTCCTTTCAAAGTGAGAATCACCTTGACTAAGATTCTATGGAAAAGCTTCGAATCGTCTTGAATGTTGCCACAGACCACGTCTGGATCGACTCGGCCCGTGACATATGCATTGAAAATCACAAAGCGATTCTCCCCAATGACAAGTTCTGGCTGTTCGCTGGCGGCTAGCAGTCCACGGCGACTGTCAGTCTCACTGGAGCATCCGGCCATGGCTGGAAGAAGCTTCTCTTGAATAGCCATCAGAAGAATTTACACTTGTGGAGTTGTAATTTCGCAACCCGAACTTATGGTGATATCAAAGCTCATGTCAAGAACCGTATTGTCCAAGTCTACTTGTCCAGCTATGATTTCGTTCCTGGTGATGGCGCGACACTCAGCTTCACTGGGTGGATCGTACAATTGAGTTATAAATATCTGCGTGATAGTTGTTGTATCCTTGTTGAGAGCAAAGAAAGCACCAACTCCGGCCGCAATGAGAACAATAATGCAGCAAGAGACATCAGTAATGTTCTGCTTTCTTTGCGTCTTTTGCTTTTCTCGTTGTGCTCTTTCTTTCGCTTTTCGTGCTGCTCTCTCAGCTTCATGTCGCTGGTTGAGCGCTTCCATTTCTTCATGACGTGTTCTTTCCTTACTCAAACTCTCGTCTCATTTGTTCAACAACTTCTTGACTTTCCGAAATAGCACCATCCACAGCTATCGCTTCCAATGAAGTATTAGCATTCTCTGGCTTGGCTTTTGCAGCAGGAGCCGGAGACTGATTGGAGGAGCTAGTAGTCCTTTCTTTTTTTCTTCTCGCTCGAGGACTCATCCGATCCTCGGGAGAAGCTCCTTCTGGTGCATTCGAAGATCGCTTAGACCTTCGCTCTTTTTTATTATTATCAGTGATACTGCCGTCGTTTTCAGGAATAGCACCAGGCTTGGATGCTTTGTTACGGCCGCTTCTTTCCTTTCTGCGGCTGACAGAATTGCTGGTTCCCTACTGGTGACCTCCTCGAGTATAATGTCCGATGCGACCGCAGTCATTGTTTCCTTGCATTGCGAGGTGTTGTCACCCTTTCTCGATACGGGATCACGGAGCCAACTCATTCGGAAAAGCAGTAGAGGGAACAAATGTTTACCACATTGATCCAACTTTAAGGATTTTATGCAAATGTATTTGCACGATTTCGCGCCATTTTTCTGCAAGCGATTTTGTGTGTTTGTCAGTTTTGTCAGCTGTTAGTTAGTCAGTTAGTCAGTTGTCTCGTGCACGAAGTACATCTTTCGTCTTTGTACGGGTATCTCGTACCAGGTCAGTACCTGATACCGGTACCTTTGTAATTTCACGCATTGTTCCTGACAAGACGGATGATGCCTCCGAAGCAGGCGACCTTCGATAGCTGTTGGCCTCAAAACTTCAAGTAAATGGTTTTTCGATTATATAGATATATAGATATATATATAAAGAGAGAAAAACCAGTACCAGGTTCCTGGAAGTGGGAGATGGCGGGGTTTAAATAAGATTTTCGACTGAATCTGAAGATTCGATACGACTATACCTACGTCCACAATTAAAGTGATTCAAACCACAAATAATTTCTTCCTTACAAAAAATTCAATCATGAAGGTAATGGAATCTGAAGCAATGATTTCTATAGGATCAAACAAGCATGAAACTGGTAAAGAAGCGCCCATCGTGGCTGCATGTCGCCATCTTCTGAAGCCGAACGGAAGCATCATCGGCGACGAAGTAGCGAAAGCAATATTGCCAAGATTTCCTGACTTGTGTTCAGCATTGCCTGCAGATAGCTTTCCTCACCACCAAGCGCTTCTTGGTACTGGAGACACACATAGGGCACCACTGACCCAATCTCGTGTTCGCCAGTTCATATTGAGCGAATTCGGGCCACAATTGCATCAACTTGGATATGGGAGCGGAGATCGAATTGCTTTGGTCCTTCCAAACGGCCCAGAACTGGCTCTTGCAATCTTGAGTATCTCACATTGGGCGTCATGTCTTCCATTGAATGCGAATGGAGCACCATCTGAATTGAAGAAAGATCTTGAAGCTGCAAATACATCGCTAATCATTGGCATTGCAGGCGTTGAATCTCGTGCAATTCAAGATATAGCACAGCATTTGGGAATTCCATTTTGTGGCTTGAAGCCGAGCTCGACAGAAACAGCAATATTCCGGATCGAAACTGATCGCTTCCAGCGAGAGCAAACCGGGAGAAAGGAACAGGAAAACGGATATCGGGGGCACCTACTGCCGAATGATCACCAGTCCGAGGTGCTTGTCTTGTTCACATCAGGAACAACTGGAAACAAGAAGCTCGTTCCTCATAGACTTGGAGATATGTTGATTGCAGCTGCATGCATAGCCGTCAGTTGGAACCTTACACCCGAAGATGTCAACTGCAATCTGATGCCACTTTTTCATGTCGGCGGGATTGTTCGTCAAGTATTTGCACCAATCCTGAGTGCGGGCTCTGTCATTTGTTGCCCTTCGTTTGATCCATCCATCTTTTGGGGCCTCCTTTTGCAAAGTGACAATGCATCATCAAATGGGATAAGAACAAAATTTTCGTGGTACTATGCTGCACCAACCATGCATCAAATTTTACTAGAGACCATGCCGGCAGCACTGGAACTTGCAAAAGCGCGCTACCCTCTGTTGCAACCACAGCTTCGGATGATTGCCAATGCTGCTGGTGGTCTCTTGCCGTCACTTGCGGAAGAGCTCCGACAAGCTTTTGGAGGGGCCAACGTTTTGCCGAGCTATGGTATGACTGAGTGCATGCCTATTTCATCTCCGCCATCTAACTATGAATTGACGAAGCCTGGAACATCTGGTGTCGCAGTTGGACCCCAAGTCGGCATTTTCAACGCAAACGAAGAAAAACTATCGCCTGGAAAAGAAGGTAGTATCTGCGTACGAGGTAGACCATGCTTCCATGGATACGGAGACAGGCCCCAAGGAGAGGGATTTCATGACGGATGGTTCAATACTGGTGATCTCGGATACCTTGATGCTGAAGGCTATTTGTATATTACTGGAAGGTCAAAAGAAGTGATCAATCGGGGAGGTGAAATCATCAGTCCAATGGAGATCGAAGAAGAAGTACTGTTTCATCCCTCGGTTTCAGCATGTGCTGCATTCTCGACCAAACATAATGTGTTACAAGAAACGGTTGGTATTGTGGTAGTCACATCTCCAAACTCGAAAAGAATCGACTTGGAAACGCTTCAAGACTTCTTGCAAAGTCGACTCGCTCCAGCAAAATGGCCTCAGCTGTTGGTATTCATGGATGCGCTGCCAAAGTCACACACAAACAAACTATTGAGAGTCAAGCTCGGAGAACGCCTCGGAGTTCCAGAAATGAACGATGGAATGCAACCAATTGAAAGAACTTTCGACGCCCGATGCCCATCTCAAGGCACGCCAATTACAACTCCAATCCAATGCGCACAGGTTACTGTGGACACCGCCCTCATTGAACGAGCCCTGCTCAATGATTTGGGAGTCGATTCCAGCGGACATCAACTCTTGGTGACCAAACATCCGCATCGAAATGGTTCCATTGTGGTTCATGTCCACAATCTGAACCCACATGACGTGATTAAGATTGCGAATGAATCACTTCATGCATACCAACGCCCTTCGCATATATGCTCTCATGAAGACAAGACGATTATGCTACGCCGGGATTCTTGTGAAAAGATTGTACCAAAACCGACAGATTCGGTTGACTGTTTGCAAATGACCTTGAAGCATGCAGCGGCTGGATCCGATCCTGTATTGGAAAAGCTACGAGGGATTGTTCAAGATCTCGTCGATCATGACCATCTGCCGTCCCCAGAAACTTCCTTCTTTCGACTCGGAGGAACGTCGCTCATTGCATCACAGCTCGCGAGTCGAATTAGAAAACAGTTTCAAGTGTCGTTCAGTGGAGCCGATATTTTCCAATACAGCACCTGTCTTGCAATGGCAATGAAAATTAAATCTGAAAAAGAAGAATCATCCAGGAATCAGTCGCCATTTAACAAACCGAGTCAAAGGCACAAGGCGGGCACTGCATTTGCGGTAAAAAATTCTCGCGGTGGTCTTCAAGAGGTTACTTTTGATGCCACCAAGCTCCTTCCAAGGAAAAACACTTTGAAAACTCTTTTTCAGCTGGTTCCAGGATTCTTTGTGTTCCCTTGGTTGCAATTCACGCGTGCATTTCTTTTCTTTGCTCTACTTTTTGAGGTATTGAAAGATTTACCCGTGGAACGAAATGTAATTCGCTTTATCATTACGGTCGCTGTCTTCCACTTGTTGTGGAGCGTCTTTACGCCATTGATCTTTGTGCTGATCAAGTGGACTGTCATTGGGAAGTACAAAAGCGGTCGATATCCTTTCTATAGTGTGTACTATCTTCGATGGTGGTTTGTGGACGTGTGTCGAAAGATCATTGGAAGAGGTATCTGGGGTACTAGCAACTTTCTCTTGATCCGCTACTATCGAATGCTCGGAGCGAACATTGCAGCGGATGCAAGAATTGCTGTGGAGGCTGAAATCGCCGAGTTTGATCTCATCACAATTGGGCACGATGCGTCCATTGAATATTCCACACTTCGTGGATTCGGAGTTGATAACGGAGCAATGCAGCTTGGTCCTGTGCGCATTGGGACCTCGGCTAGTGTTGGAATTCGATCTGTCGTAGCACCATTCACTGAAGTGCCAAACGGAGCACATGTTGCTCCAGCAACATCAAGCTACGACATCACGTACAACAGCGACCGACACTTGGAGTACAACCGATATTCTGCCAGACCACCATGCTGGGCACTCCAGACATTTGTCGGTTCGCCAATCAAGCTTTTTGTTGATATCTTCTCACACCTTCCAGAGATGTACATTATCTTCGTAATGATGAAGGCACTTCGATTCAGGTACAGATTGGAATTGGGAGAGTTCAGTTTCGAAACAATTGGCGACTTGCTTGAATGGCTTTGTGATCCTGTTCGGCTACCATACTTTCTTGCGATTCGCATCGCGCGAACTACACTTGCTCCATTTTTGTACATGTTGGCAGCTCTATTTGTGAAATACGTCTTGATTGGAAAGTTCTGTGAAGGTCCAAGGGATCCGTCATCTGAATGGGATCGTATGCGAGTTTGGCTCGCGGAATCTCTATTCTCCCATTCACATGTACAGGCGGTGGCAGACTTACTTGGGCGGCATTACAATCTGACCAGTGCGTTCTATCGTCTCCTTGGAGCCAAGGTCGGAAAACGTGTTTTTTGGCCGGGAACGCAACCATTGTGTTCTGGAATCTACGATCTGTTGGAAATTGGCGATGATGTTGTCTTTGGCTCGAGATCAACGATTCTGTCGGCAAGCAGCACGGCCTTTGAAAAAGTCATCTTCTGTGCTGGCGCAAACATCTCTGATAATACAGTTGTGCTTCCTGGTTCAATAATTGGAAAGAATGTGGTGTTGGGATCTAACACTGTTTGCCCACACAGACGATATCTTCCTCCATCGAGTACCTGGTTAGGATCGCAACAAGGAGAGCCCATCCTGTTGCAATACTTGTTGGAAACAGACTTGATTCCGCAATATTCGAATGATGTTAAGTTCTCGGATATCCAAATGAGCGGCGACTCAACAACTCTTCGACCATTTGGCAGGGCAGTATACTTGCAGCAAGCTAAATTTTTTGTTTGCCCAGGCTGGATGATGTCGATGCTTCATATTGTCTACGAGGCCTCTCTGACATGTTTCCATGCAATGCCCCTAGTCGGAACAATTTATGTTTCCGTCGATATTCTGTACGGATGGGAGAGATCAGACCGTGACTACGAACAGGAAATCTCTCTTTTGCATTTGTATGGGACCATGCTTGTCATTTTCTGTATTTTGCACTGTGCCAGGATCCTCATTGGACTTTCGTTCGAAATCAGTGCAAAGTGGTTCTTCTTGGGCCGTCGAAAAATGGGAAGGTATAACTGGGACGAGTCGACGTACAATCAGAATTGGGAGTTTTACCAGCTAGCCACCAAAATTCGAAAGGTCCAGAGTCGTTCAATGCTGGACTTCATTGCAGGAACACCTTTCATCGACTGGTATTTCAGAGCCCTTGGAGGATCTGTCGGTCGCAACTGCTGCCTATATCCGTCAGGAGGAGACCCTTACATGCCCGAACCCGATTTGGTTTCCATTGGAGATTGTGTTACAGTTGACATGGCTTCCATCGTGTGCCACTTGAATACGAAAGGAAACTTTGAGCTTGTTCCAATCCATCTCGAGTCTTTCACTACATTGCGTGCAAGATCCCGAGTTCAACAGGGCGTCCACATGGAATCAAATGCAATGATCCTGGAAAAGAGTCTAGCGCTCACTGGTGAAGTCATCGAGAGTAGAAGTATATGGCAGGGATCACCAGCAGAAAGTATAGCTGAATATGATGAGCAAACTGAAAGCGAGCGTACTGATGAGACACTTTCCCTGTTGCATAGATCGGATACCTATGGAACGCTGATTTGATGAGTGACACTGCCTCATCGATCATTCTGGCATATTTCCAAAGCCAATTAAGGGCGGGAAGATGATGATTGAATGATTGATTCATTCACTCCGAACATAACTCAAAATTTACTCATCGATAACTTCCATCTCTCAATAATACGAATACCCTTACACTCTGGTGTCACAATCTCTTTGTCATTATGGCGCGGTTGGATGCCTGCTTCGATCGTTTTCGTAGAATCATCCGTCACCGTGATGAGGTTTTTATTATTTGACGGTTGATGTGTTTTGGCCAGAAAAACGAATTGCAAATAGTCTAACGTAGACGAAAGCTCGAGAACGAATCATTGGATTCCTTTCATCATACTGACGACGGTCGAACGACCGTCACAACAGCATTGCTCAGCAACACCAATAAGTCCGATCAGTTTATCGAACTTGTGTGCGAGTATACGTCAAGAAATAAGGTTTATGAAGCAGCTATAGGTATGGACAGCAAGAGCGCTAGAACAGAGGCAAACGTTTGTGATGGAAAAGTTGTATATTCTATACTCGGTGCATCCAATGGAACGACTGTAGCCGAATACGCTTTTAAGTTTTGTTCATGAACACAATCGAAACTCCCGTCAAAATTTGCCGAAACGGAGGCTGACTGCGACAAAAGGGCTGTATAATCTATTCTATCTGGACTATCTTGAGGCGGCGATGAAAAATACACATTGCATTGCCAGTTAGAGCAACAGGAAAGTTGAACTACACAGTGGAGTAGTATATATGGACCGACTCGTGTCATCTTGGAAGCACGACGACGAAAGTTGATGAAGCATCACGCGACGGATCATGAAGGATTTCTGGGATCATTGTTGAATAAGGCAGCACATACTATTCCTGAGTCAAACTGACATCAATGATGGAGTTAGTTAGCATTATAGTTTTTATTAAATCGCGCAAGATGACAAATGTCGAAGCGCTTGAAAATGGAGTCGCCAAGTGAACACAATAATATGACTACTACCGATGCTACTAGTACTGCTACTCCTACTCGTACATAATATCATTGAGAGAGTTGCCAATACTATGGAGTGGATCAGGGGTGGTGATGGGAAATATGATGGGATGCTATTATTGTAGGAAAGAGAATCGAAGAAGTGTGCTGCAGTAGTGTACTTGTTTTCAATTTGGTAACCGACCACTATTCTAAAAAATGGCCATTGATGAACGATATAGTACCGTATAAATTTTTAAGGAATCCTAATGATGCTGGTGCATTTCTGTTTTGTCCATTTGAAGACTCAGGTCACCATTAGTAGAGTTGTGGCATAGGATCACTGATGGACCATATGCACAACAAAGAGACCATTATACAAAGCTCCCGAGTATGATAGTTGTATCAAACCAGTGTTTTGCACAAATGGAGGATCCAATGACAGGCATCGACCCAAACGCTTTATTTCCACCATTGGCAATATATAATGCCGTCACAATCTTATTCACTATAGGAGTCGAAGTGGTCTGATGTGTACTCTCCGGCACCGCAGGTACCGGTACCAACCGGCGGTAACAGGGTCATCCAAATCCTTTCGAAGATATGTTAGGTATGACGAAGAGTGGATTGACCCTACATACAGTAGCTGTCATAATTGGAGTTATTAAAGCCAGTGTCGTCATTGATAAAAGATGGTATATGCTACAAACAATTATAAGTTAATGCCAAATCAAGCTAATCCATTGTACCAGCGACGGGTACAAAGGCTGCATCGTATACTTTTGGATTGGTGGAATCGCAACATTCACCCAAAGAGTTACAAGAACCTGAAGTCTTTACATTCTGCATGCACCTACAGCAGAAATCACATTGGCAACTGTTGTCGGCAACAATCATTCGTTTTGGTGGTGAGGGGAAACCACAAAAGGGAGGAGTAAAACACGGAGGAGCAACATATGGATCCAACGCACAGGATTCTGTTCCTTGACATGAGTTATCACCAATTGTCAGCAACGCTCGTTCTTGGCAGGAGTTTGCACCAGTGCAACTTCGCTTCCCAACAGTTCCTTCAAAGGAAAAGCATGCCTTGATTCCCTGGCAGGAGTCTGATCCAACAGTCAGCAGATTGGCTGCAGTTCCATCCCACAACGTATTGGGAGCAGATTGTTTATCACAAGACTGCTCGCCCGTACAACTGTTGGAACCCACGTTGATTTGTCGGCGGCACGATCCTGTTCCAGTACAAGAATTGTTTTCAATGGTATGGATCACAGCTCCCTTGCAGGCCTCCACACCGACGCACGAATCCTGTCCAACAGTAAAAGGGGGAGAGCCCGCAGAAGACTGAGCGAGACTTGTGCAGGCACCTGTTTGCGCACAGGATCCACAACCGATTTGGAAATTGTCAGCAGTGTTGTCGCAGGCGTCGGCTGATGTACAGAAACATGGCGGCGTAGGGGCCAAGGTGGGTGAGGCTGTCGGCGAGGTTGTCGGCGAGGTTGTCGGAGACAATGAGGGCGACTTTGTTGGTGTCGACGTTGGAGTATATGTTGGTGCTGATGTTGGTTCTGATGTTGGAGTATATGTTGGTGCTGACGTTGGTTCCAATGTTGGAGTATATGTTGGTGCTGATGTTGGGCTGAGAGTTGGTATCTTTGATGGAAAAGAGGATGGTGTTATCGAGGGTTCAGCTGTCGGTGCTTTGGTTGGTGGAGGCGTTGGACCAACAATTGGAGACAACGTTGGTGCCCCTGACGGTGAAATGGAAGGCAATGAGGTAGGCAAAACGGATGGTGCTGCAGTATCTTGGACCGTTGGACTCGAACTTGGTGCATTGGATGGCAAGCCTGTCGGTGGTGGAGTTGGTGGAGGTGATGGTCCTACCACTGGCGAGTCTGTTGGCGAACTAGAAGGCGAAGCAGATGGCCATGTACTTGGCGCCAAGCTTGCCAACGCGGATGGAGCAGGCGATGGAGCTTCCGTTGGGACAGTGCTGTCAACACTACTCATATGGACTTCCGAAAACGTATTTGACAATTCCAATGGAGGTACCAAGTTCCCTTCGCCCAAGTTTGAAATCACCGAGATGATTTCAAAGTCTGTCGCAGCGCCCTTTAGGTAGACAGCCATCTCCACCTCTACTACGTGGCATCTTTCTGGTTCTGCTGTATTTTGTGCTGAGCATTCAGCATCTTCAACTTCTTGGCCTTGGAAATCAGTATTTTCAATGACGGTCACATCTGCATTTCCAATGACATAACGAGATTGTAACATTCTTTGTTGCTTCTGTTCTTGTTGTACATCATAACCCAAACGGCGACGATCACGATTCCGACCAATGTCCACTTCACTGCATCCCACCATTCTGGGGACAAAGAGACGTTCCAGGGCATCGAGTAGTTCCCGTACAGCTTCCCCAGTAATGTCCCCATTCAGCGAAAGGGTGACATCAAACTTGATATTAAAATCCTTTCGATCCAAATTCTCTTGTCCAGGCAATGTTCTATTATTGGCAATATCAAGACAATCTTCTTCGCTTGGTGGATCGTATTTCGTGGATACGGTGGGAGAACTGGAAGGAAAATTGGTACTTGGAGATTCGGTGGGTGGGAGCGGCACTACCAAATTGGTGGGCGCCATGGTTCCATTGACAATGGAGGCAATGTCTTGGGGCGCATCATCGTCATCCCCCGTCAACCATACGAAACCTCCCACCACAGCCAATACCACCACCAACAAGGCAAACAGGATTCCACAAATGACACAGGAGGTGCTCGTCTTTTTCTTGCCCGGTTTGTTTTCTTCTACCAGTTTGACAGAACCTGCACTGACACTCTTTTGACGCCGTGTCGTTTGACTGGCCTCTTCGCTGACTGACACCGCACTGGTGCTGGGTTCGTCGCCAGGAAGGTGACTGTCCACCATGAGACTATTGCTATCGTCTTGACTGTTATAGGCTCCTCGAGATCCCGTGGCAATGGGAAAGTCGTAGGCATATCCATCATCGTTTGCAGCGACGGCTCTGGACGAAGACGAATAATTGGCATGTTTCTTGGCTTCTTCGTCACCGTAGAGCAAATCACGAGTTCCCGTGACGCGTTCAATACCAGGACGATAGGCCTTCTTTTTCTTGGAACCTTTTTTGCGTTGTTCTTCTTCCACTCCGTAGAGCATATTCTTGTGATAATGTGCTGGTGGATCTACATGATCATTGTCATACCATCGTTCGACTCCTGGCTTGTTGGAGCGTTTCTTGGGACTTGATGATGACTTGGAGGCCTTGGTCTTGGCATCTTGATCATAATGATAGTATCCATCCTCGCCGTCCTCGACTCCATAGAGAACATGTTTGCTGCTTTTGGTTCCATTTGTCCGTTTGGAAGACTTGCTGTGAGAGGAAGTCATGAGACTTTCGATACCATCGGATTTGTCAGACTTGTATTTTGAAGAATCCTTGACTTGTTCCACTCCTGGCTTAGAGGCTCGTTTGTGGCTTTTCTTGGATGACTTTTTGTAAAAGTCATCACCATCGTACAAAAGGTCGACCGCGGTCGAACTAGCAGTCGTATGTTGATCACTTCCTCCTGATGCTGCTATATCTGTAATCATGTGTCTCTTGCTTCTTTCTTTGCTCAAGTGTCGTTTGCTGCTGGATCGAGAGGATCCAGATCGTCTGGGACTGTGGTGGCCACTGCGATTATGATTGTTATCATTCTTATGGGCAACATCGGGGGCATCCATCATCGTATCATGATGGTGGTGCTGTCTTCGTTTGCTGCCGGATCGTCGGTCTCTACTACTAGTTTTGCCGCCTTGGGAGTACATGACATCGGCATCGAGATGACTTGAATTCGAAACGCTGGTACTCTCAACGTTTTCACCACCATCAGCAGCAGCAGCAGCGGCACCACCATTTGAGGAACGATGGCTGTGGCTAAGGTCCACCGAACTAATGGGAAAGGTAGAATGTGTGGCCCTGCTACTTGTGACGGAAGAAGGACTGCCCAATACGTCACCCATTCCACCTCGATCGCTCCTGCTCCTGCTGACATGGTGTCGATTGCTGCTATTACCCTTTTTAGGTCCCAAACTTCTAGAAGAAGAAGAAGGTGTGTTGGGAACAGGACTAGTGTGCAAATGCCGCGAAGAGGACGACGACGAAGGTCTAGGACTGTGATGGCTGGCGTTGGCGTTGGCGCTCCCGCTGCTGCTGCCCAAATGTCTCGAAGACTTGTTTTTATTGCTGCGGCTTTGTCTGTTTTTTTCTTCCGTATGAGAAGACGATGACCGACGTCGACGACGAGAGTCGCTCAAACTACGACGAGATTTGCGCGAGGTTGTAGAAGCAGCTTTGGAGTATTTGCTCCGGCGGCTTTCATTCAATTCGTCCACACCGCTGTTGTTGCTGGGCGATTGCTGCAATAATTCGTTGTCCTTGTAAATCAAATCACGAGAGCTCTTGTGTCTTTGCTTCTCACCATTGCTATAATCGGACGACATTGCTGCTTCTATTGCTGCTTCTATTGCTGCTACTGCTGCTGCTGTATTTGTATTGTATTTGTAATATACTGTGCTGTACTGTACTGTACTGTACTGTACATTCAAAATGGGCGCAATAAACCTTTTCTATGCGAAAGATAGGTGCTTGCACTACCGGTAGAATGAGGATGATATAATACTAATATTGACACACACTTTCAAACTTGAAATTGGACGGGCTACGTTTCTGATGAATTCGCTCATGTATTCAATATCTCACGGCGAAACAGAAACTTCTCAAAGCCTGGTTCCTATGTCGCGAGCTCCACCACCCAAATCAACTTTGAAATGCTCTACTTATGAACTGTTTCTGCCCTGCTGGTAATTTGACGACTAAAAATATATATTTAGTTAACGGTATCTCTTTCGTCCGTGAATCATCTAATCGGACAAACTATGGAATTTGAACAACATTTATGACACGGAGACATTTTGGGCTACGAAAGCCTGCATATTTACAATTAGCGGTTGCGTTCCATACTGTACCTGGTACTGTACAGCATTTCTTCCGCGTGTTTCGTGTGAGAGGGTCCATAAAAGTCCATCACACAAGAAAACGAAAATTCCCAGCTTCGTCATCTCTTTCATTTTCCTACAGTGATTCTGTACCTTATAAACACCGGTATATTTATTTAAAAATGCAATATACGCATCTAGTCTCACTAGGCCCCTAATATTATATTATTTTTTCAGGATGCGACGAAATGACAGAGGTATAGTAGAAGACTTGAAGTCTTCTTTCGCTAGAGAGTTGCCTTTTTTGGTTGGAGTGAGTGATGATGAGTCGAGTGAGTCGTCGATATTCAAGTTGATTTTATTATGAGTTGAGTCAGTTGAGTCGAGTTCCCGGATGTGGTGGAATCCGTTGAGTCGACGAGGGAAACGAATTTGAATATCGGATATATATAACGTGAAACATTACAACGACAAAATAAGTGTGGGATGACAAGAATAACTAGAACAGAATTCGGAGTTTACATGTATTTCTCTGTTGTTATCATCTTTACAAGCTACAGTGTAGGGACACATATGTGGCAGAATGGACCTGGTGGAGTGGCACCGAGGTCTGGATCGAAAAGTGATGGGCAACCACTTTCACCAGCGCAACCAAGGAACATAAAAAAAACATTAGCATTGCTCGGAAGCGAAGAACCCCACGCACAAAGATCCTGATTGAAGGATGTTGCAGCAGCGAACATGAAACTCGTGTCAGTCACAGAAGAAATATCCCAGGATGACAAGTCTTGGTTGAAGGCTTCTGCCAATTCGAACATGGAACTCATGCCAGTCACAGAAGATACATCCCAGGATGACAAGTCATGATTGAAGGCTGTTGCAGAACTGAACATGGAACTCATATCTCTCACAGAAGAAACATCCCAGGATGATATGTCGTGATTGAAGGACGATGCCTCATAAAACATGAAACTCATGTCAGTCACAGAAGAAACATCCCAGGATGACAAGTCTTGATCGAAAGGTGTTGCGCGGCTTAACATGTAACTCATGTCAGTCACAGAAGATACATCCCATCCTGATAAGTCCTGATTGAAGTTTGATGCACCATCGAACATGAAACTCATGTCAGTCACAGAAGATACATCCCAGGACGACAAGTCCTGATTGAAGGGTCCTACTCCCCAGAATATCTTGCTCATATCTGACACAGAAGAAACATCCCAGTTTGAAATGTCTTCATTGAAGGTATACCTAAAAGAGAAGAGTCCAGACATACTGGTGACACCAGCACCAAAGCACCAGTCTCCAATCGGACCATATGTGTTCTCGACGGTTGTCTTTTGCAAGGCGGTACCAAACCAGTTGTCGACTTGACTGCTGAGTTCACTGTTGCTTTGAAAGCATTGTTGGGATACTGTGAGAGATTGCGAGGGTTTCGTGGATGGGGCGGTAGATGGAATCATACTCGGTTTCATTGATGGAAAGGTGGATGCAGCCATACTTGGTTTCATTGATGGATTTGACGATGGAGACATACTTGGTTCGATTGATGGATTGGCAGATGGTGCAATGCTTGCTCCAATTGATGGATTGGCAGATGGACCTTCACTTGCGAGAACTGAAGGAGACAAACTTGGTACTCTTGATGGTACATTTGATGGTGTACTTGAGGGCAAAAGAGTTGGGCCCACCACTGGAGCAAGTGTTGGTGACAAAGATGGTGTGGTGGAAGGACGTAGACTTGGCGTATCGGAGGGTCTGGCAGTTGGGCTTGCAGTCGGCGGAGGCGTTGGACCAACTACAGGAGCCAAGGTAGGTCTCATTGAGGGCTCTGGTGTCTGGATTCTTGCAGTTGGTGGAGGCGTTGAGTCAACCACTGGTGCCAACGTAGGTCTCGTTGATGGAGCTGATGAGGTGGCTCTTGGTGGTGAAGAGCTTGGGGCTTGAGAAGTCGTTCGAATGGGACTTGACGATGGTGCCGCTGATGGAGACGCTGATGAAGCCGTTGATACATATTGATCTTCAATTTTGACCAACCGTACCTCGGAGAATGAGACATCCAAACCGAATGGATCTTTCAAGTTGTCATCGTCTCGTCCTCCTTCGTTCAATAACTCATCGACTTGATCAAAGGTTAGAAGGATGAGATCTGATTCTTCAACAGGTCCTTTCAAAGTGAGAATCACCTTCACTGAGATTCTATGAAAAGGCTTCGAATCATCTTGAGTGTTGCCACAGACCACATCCGGATCGACTCGACCCGTGACATATGCATTCAAAATCACAAAGCGATTCTCTCCAATGACAAGTTCTGGCTGCTCGTTGTCGGGTACCAGTCCACGGCGACTGTCAGTCTCACTGGAGCATCCAATCAAGGGTGGAAGAAGCTTCTCTTGAATAGCCATCAGAAGAATTTGCACCTGTGGAGTAGAAATGTCGCAACCCGAATCAATAGTGACATCAAAACTCATATCAAGATCCGCATTCTCCAAGTCTGCTTGTCCAGCTATGGTTTCGTTCCTGGTGATGGCGCGACACTCAGCTTCACTGGGTGGATCGTACTGCGGAGTTACGAGTATCTGTGTCACGGAAGTTGTACCCTTGTAAAGAGCAAAGAAAGCACCAACTCCGGCGGCAATGAGAGCAACGAAGCACAAAACAGTAATGATGATCCGCTTTTTTCGCTGCTTTCGTGCTGCAGCAACATTTGCTTCTTCTTCAGCTTTCTTGTTTGCAAGTCTCTGGTTGAGCTCTTCTATTTCTTGTTGCCGTTTCTGTTCCTGTTGCTCAAACTTTCGTGTGATTTGCTCAATTGCATCTCCCTCAGTGGTATCATCCACTGTTGACGCCTCCAACATATTCTCTGCGACGTAAGGTGCCGTTGTCTGATTTGAGGAGCTGGCGGCCCTTTCTTCTTTTCTTCTCTCGCGATTCGTCATTACATCTTCAGAAACAGCACCTGGATTCGATGCTCGAGTAGATCTTCGCTCCTTTTTTCGATCATCCGAGTTCCTGCTGGCTTTCGCAGGAGTATCACCTGGCTTGGATGACCTACTACGAGAGCTTCGTTCCTTTTTCCGAAGATCGGAGCTCCTAGTGGCTTTTTCAGGAACAGCACCTGGCTTGGATGTCTTGGTAGCGCTCCTTTCCTTTCTACGATCAACAGAATTTGCGTTGGTATTTGCGGAAATAGCACCAGGTTTGGTTGCCCTTGGGCCGCTTCTTCGTTTCTTCTTAGCATCAGCAGTGTCTCGAGAAGCTTCTTCGGATTTGGCAGTAGATCTACGACCGGATCTACTACGACGTTCACGAGCTTTCCCGCCGCTTCTTTCACTTAACTCATGGTTCGATGCATGCGATGACTCGGAAGGATCTTCATCTGCTTCTCGGTTTTTCGATCGTCCAGAAGACTTTCGAGAGGATCGTGACTTTTCTCTTCTGGAGGATGCTCTCTCTGGCATGGTAAGGATTACGAAGTTGATAAGAGTAGGTTGTTTGGATTGTGACTTTTCTATTTCGATTAGTTGTGAAAGGAAGAGGTTTGTGGATGAAAGAGCTTTTGGATACTACCGGTTTTGTCATATTTTTTAAATAGGGCAACTGATCGTAAACTACTTAAGACAATCTGCTCTGATCGTAAACAACTGCTTACGTAAGCAAATACTATGCGGTCGGCTCAACACTTCGTTCCTCCGTCACAAAGCTGATCGGCCAATTTGGTACTTTCGTCAGCTTGAAACCGCCGACTGACGTTTGTGCCGACGTGTTCATCTTGTGGTTCACAGTTTGCGTGTGTTGTACTAGCTAGGGAACCTTTACTTAGGAATTCTGCATGCAGGATTGGAGGCCTTGAGAAAATGACGTTCGTTGTTGGCCTCTCCCCCCGTACCGTACCGGATATAAGTGGATCGACTTATCAGACTGAATTGCTACAATGCGACACCTCGCCCATAAACGCGCGTACCGGTATATATAGCGTTCACGAATAAAAAAGGAAAGAAGCAATTGCGGGTCATACAAACGTCCGTATTCTTAGTAGTCGGCTAGCTATCTATACTGTACTACGTACAAGTAGAACACAGATAGCAGGCGCTCAATCTCAAATCAATCATCTCATCTGCTGTAACATTTGCGTTCGGGGGACTGTGATTTAGTGATGGGAAGAATGAAACGTTGCTTTTTATCCAACAATGCTCGTTATTATCGAGCAAGTCGAAAGCTCACGCATCGCAATATTGTGGAGATATTTTCATTTCATTTCAAGATGATGCCCTTTCCTGATACAGCAGACAATGAAAGTTGCACTACTAGGTAAGCTATCTATATTTCTGCTCGGTTCATTTCTAGAAGCGTCTGTAGCTGGTTGATGGTGGTGATGTGTGATTGACGAATGATTTTTCTCCACGTTTTTCCGAGGCGAAAAGGGTAATAACGTTTTGCAGACTGTATGAATGTATACAAATTTTATATTTAAAAAGCCCCACCCCTTCCTGTTTGGGCAACAAAGGAGACAACATCATTAGCGCCATCACTTTCAAAAAAACTTCTGAGCTTAGCTCAACTCCGTGGCAACAAGCCGTTTGTCTCATTAGACGGTTTCTAGCAACTCCATCATGTCGTCTTCGATGAAATGACTTTCACCTGGTCTCTTTGGATTTGGTGGTTCCAATGGTGCTCTTGCATTTAGATTATTCAGCATGCTGAACAAGTGTCGTTCTTGGGTAGTACTAGTATGATCATTGTTGTAATTATCATCATCCCCGTCATCATTACTATTGGTCTTCATTTCTTCGTCTGACATCATGCTTGTATGGAATTTTTGTTGTTTTGAATGATACTGTTGGTGGTGGTAGTCGTCTGATGTATCCGGCATGCGCTGACAAATGCAATGATCTTCCATGTACCGAATGGGGGATTGACACGATTCGGGTGCGATTTGGGCCACATCGTCACCCGTAATGATCCAAGCAGGCACGATTTGTAGAGGAGACCTGCCAGTACTTAATTTCGTGTGCACTTCTCTCACCCCTTCTTGAGATTTCGAAATGACGCTTCGGGTTGTCTCCTTGGCCACATTGGTAGCTTCCGCAGTCGCTTCACTACAGGAAGTCATGATTCCGGAGAAAGTACTCTGGTTGTCGTCTGCAGTCTCGTCAGTAGTAGTTGCAGTAATCGTCGTGGTTTTCATAGTATAGTTGATACTTCGAATCTTGGCTTCCCAATCTTCTTTTTCTTCTTCGGCTTGGTGAAGATCATCGGCCAAGGCAAACGAGGGCGATCGGTAGGCTTCTTGTTCTTCTTGCTCTTTTTTCTCTTCTGGTTCTTCGTAGTATTCCAGACGACCACCATTGTTCTTCTTGATGGCCAACAACGAATTTTCTTCTTCTCCGTCACCCTTCTCATCATAATAATCCTCGGTCATGCGTTGACAGATGCAATGATCTTCCATGTATTGGATAGGTTTCTGAAAGACGTTGGGCGCGACAGCCGCTAGGTCGTCGCCAGAGACGAACCATTGGGGAATGACTTGAACCATGATATTATCGTTGGTGTTGTTGTTGTTGTTGTTATTGTTATTGTTATTGTTAGTGAGGTACGAGAAAGACTTAGTCGTAGGTGGATGACCGACACCTCACACGGATGGGTACTGTATGGGATAGATGTGATGTGGGATCGCGGAATGAAATCTTTTTTTGGTATCCAATTTTTCCGTCTCGCCAAATTTCGAAATTGGACCCAAATTTTGAAACTCAAGACTGACGGATGAAAAACAGATATACATAGGGCTAATTCATTCCCTCAAAAAATGACAAGAGAGACGGATGACGGATGATGGACATACGATTCCCTTGCTGACACGTTGAGCATATCCATAGTAGCGTGACGTGCGACGGACGTGGCAGTAACAAAATTCTGGGTGGAGACATTTCCGCGTCGATTGCCAGCTTGTCTGCTTCCAACTTCTTCTAAAAGGGCTGCTGCTGACAGTGACTCCTCTGCCTCATCATCAATTGTTTTGTTTCTAGGCATAGAAGCAGCTTGTGTAACGACTGGAATCAATCCAAAAAAGACGTTTGATTCTGTTCAACTCTATTAGATTACATTCATTAGAAGAGAATCATCAATTATTACCTGAAGTTACCTGACATTTTTCCTGAATCATCAAAAAACCAAGCAATCATAAACCACCAGCGACAGTTACATGCAAAACATGATCCGATTATCTCAAAATATTACCAAGATGGCGCTGCTGGCGCACTGTATCGCTATGGTGATGCAACTATCGTCACCAGAAGTCGGAACAGTATTCTTTGCGGATGCCTTGTTTGTGAATCCATCCCCCTCCTCCCGAATTACGGTTGGTCGCAACAATAAGTTATGTTCTGTTTCAGGAAGAAGAGGGGGATCTGCTACCAGAATAATACGATCACATCACGACTCGTCACGCCAGGCACAACATATTACACTGAAATCATCATTTTTGCAGGGCAGTGCAAGCTCTGACGACACCAATAGCACGGATGCAGTTGATGAGATCAACAATTTGAGTGAACCACCAACGGTTATTGTCATGGATGGTCATGATACTGATGGTGGTGCAGCAACATCGTCAGCGTCCACCACGGCGCAATTTGGGGATGTAGTGAGATTGGGATCGGGCAATCATCAGCAATCAGAAACAAGTGAGGAAGATTCGGCATTCTTTGCCTCTCCCGAACCAATTTTTTCCAACAAGCCGACGTCCTCAGCAGTGTCGGAGGCCGAAAAAGTGGCCAAGAAGCGCAAGGAAAAGAATATCTTCGTGGCGGTGGCTTCCGTTGGCTTGGCCTTGGTCAATTACTTTTATCAATTCACCCATCCACTTTCCAGTTTGCAGCTGCTTTCGACCATGCAACACGACCATGCACCCGAAACCACCTTGCAACTTTTGGGGAACAATGGCAAGCCTACCATGGTTGACTTTTGGGCTCCTTGGTGTGAAAACTGCAAACAATTGGCACCAACGCTCTATCAAGTTCAACAACAATATGGAAAGGATGTCAACTTTGTCATGGTCAATGGAGATGACCCATCTGCATGGCCATTGATTGAAGCCTTTGGCGTGGATGCCATTCCACACATGGCGTTGGTAGAAGCCGATGGTACAGTAGATACTGCTTTGATTGGACCTGTTCCTAAGGGTTGGATCGATGCCGATTTGCAAGTATTGATTGAAAATAGTCGACAACAACAACGCGGTGACACCGAGACTCCAAGGAAAAAGTTGCCATATGAAATGCTGGATGTCTTTGCCAACCGACCAGAAGCACGGAAGCTTCAAGTGACACTAAAGCAATAATAGAGAAGACTGAATACATAATATAAATACAACAGTTTGCTATCCTACAGTAACAAATCGAGAGGTGAAATATATAATTTTAGTGGCATATTTTATTTCTTCGATTCGAATCGACGAATCGTAGAAAAGCCGACTCGTTCGACTTCTTACAATTCCAGCGAGTCGATTTCGATCTTGTGTAGATGCCAAAATCGAGCAGATCTGGTTCACAAAATTGGGCACATTGTTTTCCAGGAAGAATCTGGGATATACTCACAAATCGTTTCCCAAAACCAAAAACCAAAAACCAAAAACTCACCACACTCGTATACAAATTTCAACTTTCGTTGTGTTGAAGCATATCATAACAAACAATGAAGTTGAAAGTGGCAAACCCCGCTAAGCTCAAGGCCTTGGTGAAAAATGGAAAGACCAAGGCCTTGAAGATGAAGCAAGAGAGTACCAAGGCACTGATCAAGGTATTGCCCAAGAGTACTGTCCCAAGGAATGGCGAGAAGAGAGACTACGATACGGATTCTTCCAGCCAAGATCATATGCCACTTCTACCAGACTCCGAGGGAAGTAGTACTACCGATGAAGAAGAAGAGTCGCACAACAGCAGTGGAGGAGACCACGAAAACTTTGCCCAATTTAGCACTACTCCTACGATCACTCTTCAAGATCATGAGCTACCCATTGCCACTCCCATAATCGAGTCACCACCATCGTCGCCACAGACGACAAACAGAAATTGTCAAATACAACGAGCAAGAAAGGAGCGCCAAGTTCAAAAAGCAAGACAGGAACGTCAAGTAAAAGATTTGCAATCGCCACAAAAGACAAATTGCAATCGTGAAATAGAACGAGCAAGAAGGGAGCGTCAAGCTCAACAAGCAAGGCAGGCACGCCGACAAGTACAACCAGCAAGGCAGGAGCCACCGGCATCCATCAAAGTCAATGTCAATTCTCATAGAAGTCGAGCGTTCTATGCTGCTTCCAAGAATCCTGATGCTAATTCTGTGACGACCAACAAGGAAGGAATGGCTTTCGATATTGCAAATCTCACATGCCAAATGTCACAGTTTCCATCGGATATCTCTGGGGTGTCGGATGATGCCGTACTCCCACCCAGCGACGCCATGGCGGATGCGAAGCTCGTATCCAAGACAGCTTTCTTGAAGGCAGTCCAGGTCAGCGGAGCCATGTTGGAAACGGGCAACACGCTTTGCGTTGCGTCGTATGAGCATTCACTAAAAGAAGTAGATGCTGTTCCTTGCATCACAAAGGCTCCGGGATCCATCGAACAAGGAGCCAAGATGGAGATCATCTCCACCACCTCTCAAACTACTTCTGGTTCGTCTGCTGCTTCAATCTTGGAAGCACAAGAAGAAGAAGAAGAAGCTGACTATCCTGATGATGAAGGCCCAGTTGTCGTTGTCAAGCCATTACAGAAGAGTACCGATCTGAAGAGGGACCGTCGTCGTAATCGCCGCCACCCGAAAGAAAAGACTCGAGCAAAAGGAAAAATTGCGGATCCCAATGCTGCCGATGACGATGATTTTTTCTTGATGACTGCTGAAGACGTGGAAGAGATTACCAAAATGGCTCGGGAATTGGCCAATACGAATTCTTCAGACGGGGAAGAGGGGGGAACCTTCGGTTGCCACCTAGCCAAGGATGTTGTGGAATGGCTTCTTTGCACAAGCATTCAAGGCGGCGGGCGCCATACCATGACTAAAAAGCAGGCCAAGACTTGGTTTGCTGACCAGGACATGGAGGATGGTCAAAGCTCAATGAGAACACCTACGATGTGGACGGCTGACACAAAGTTCGTTGACGAGGACATGCCGCCCAGCCCCAAAAGGTCAGTTCGTGACGAATTGAAGAGTGCCAGTAAAGAATTTGAAAACAGCGACAACAGCGTCATCGAAGAGAACGAAGACTCCGATTCTGACTCTGATTTTGACGATGGTGAAGACTTCTACTTTGACGAGCAAAGCATGACTTCGGCCAACAAAGTGGTCCGTCAATTCCGTCCTACTGGATTGATCTGCACAGATAATTTGGCAGTTGTCTATGGAGGTAACTTAGAACAGTTGGAAGGCACTATTGAAACTGTGCTGGTGGTGGACGACAAGCAGTATGATGAGAACAGTGATAAGCAAATGGATTTGGAACAACATGACTGCGAATGTGATGGCGATTTGTTGCCAGTGTACGTGCCTTCTTGCCCGGAAGATGACATGGAAGATGTGATATGTGCTGATGGCCCTATCCCCAATTTCGACGAGAGGAAGCTCAACTATGACTACCAGAACTATCAAATCGGAATCAATTCAGACACTGTTACAGGAACAATGGAACTTGATGCCATTGTATGCGAGGGCAACGAGGGCGATGAAAAGTGTTGGGATACATTGAGCAACATTACGCCACTGACCGTCACTTCGCATCATACAGCGTTGCATCGTCGGTTGCAAGAGTTGGAGACGGAGCTGGTGCGACTGCAAGTGGAGTACCAAGACATTTCTGGGTCATCTGATGAAGGAGTGATGGAAGAATTCCAAAACGAACCTACCGATGACTCTTCGATTGATGGCCTACCGCAAACTAGCAATGATGCATCGCAAAGTGGTGGTGATAACAATTCGGTTCGCAAGAACGCGTTGCAAGCCAAGCTGTCTACAATGAAAATGCTTCAGGAAGAGAAGACCATTTTGGAGAGAAGAGTTCAAGAACTCGTGTCCATGATGGAAGCTTCGGAATTGTGTCACTCGAAGCAAATGGCAGAAACAAAGAAAGCGTCTGACGCAAAGCTGGAAGAGTTGCGATACCATCAAAAGAGCGCCCTCGATGAAGCGGCATCGAAGATTCAGGAGCTCGAGTCCAGCTTGGTTTTCTCGCACACAAAAATGGCGGATATCCGAGCCAAGTACAGCCATGACTTGGAGGCTGCCAAGATTTCGCAGTCAAGTGAATTGGAAGAGATCCAAAGGCAACAGAAGCCTGCTCTTGATGCAGCGAAGTCAAAGATCGAAGAGCTGGAATCAAGTTTATATAAATCGCAGACGAAGCTGGAGGAACTCAAGGAGAGGTACAGTCGCGACTTGGAAGCTCTGGAGCGAGAACAAATGTACAAAGCTCGGGAAAGAGACTTGATTGAGAATGACCTAAGATCCAGCCTTAATGAAGCTGAATATAAAGCAGAGAAAGATCGCGACGAATCCGAGCGCATGGTTCGGGAGATTCGAGACGAGCACACCAAGCAAATCGAGGAGATGATTCAACAGTTGGATGTTGTGGTGGCCCAACACGAGAAAGAGCATGCGAAAGAATTCGAGAAGCTCATTGCTCAATTGGATCTTGTGGTAGCTGAGCATGAAAAAAAGACTATGGAAATGGATACACTAGTTCAGGAGAAGAATTCTTTGATTGCCAATCTAGGATCGCAACTTGCCACAGCCCAAATGCGTCTGATTCAAATTGATGGGTCTTCTTAACCATGACTGCACTAATATACATCTATCTTCAGGCTACTTGTAGAATATTAATCCCATAAAGTACTAAGAAAAAGTAAAATAAAAAACAATTGCATGCAACTATTATTTCATTGAATCAACCGTTTCATTCGGACGAATAAGATATCAAATGAAGTATACCGCACTGCGTAAATGAGGCAACTCCTTGTGCAGTCGCATTAGTCGATTGATTCTTTTCTCGTCGACAAAATTTGCTCACAAAATTGGTCCATTTTGAATCTTGGTCATCATCAAACTCCGAAGGCATTGAACAACAAGAAAAATCCTTCGCTTGAAAACTCACGATTGCCGCAAACAGCACTAAGCAGCAATCGAGGAAAAAATACACCATGTGGCTGAAGATCTTGTCACCTTCTCCAAGCAGCAGGGGATTGGGAACCGGAAACATTGTTAAGGACAACTATCAAGATGCCAACCCAGATGCCGTCATCAACGATCGCCCTCCCAAGAAAACAACAAAACAGTCTTCATCGTCGAAAGTCAAGGCACTAGTCAATAATGGAGACACCAGAAGGTTGAAGATGAAACAGGAGAGCTCCAACAAGCTTCTGCAAAGTCGATCGGCTGATCAACCAGAGGTGCAAGACAACGAAGCTAAATCACAACCAATCAAGACCAACCCAACCAACCTCGCTGGCAATAGCACCAAGGACAGTAGGGAAGTCTTCGCACGAAGATATTGGGTCCACTCCACGACGCCGCCGTCGCCCAAATCTTCGTCGCGTCAAGAGAATCCAGAATTGATATGGAATGATTTAGACCACGCATACCCCAATCTAAAACCCACACAAAACGAACCAGAGCCCACACAAAACGGGCCAGAGCCTACTCAGTTGCCTTGTGATGTCTCTTGCTTGACGGAGGATTTGAATTCCGTTCAAGTAGAAGAGGCGGTCCCACTGCCCAGCATTATTGGTCTGGAAGATGTCAAGGTTGCGTCCAAGGCAGCATTTTTCAACGCTCTTTGGTATGGGGGAGTTATCGCAAAGGCGGGAAAGACGGCTGGCGAAGCAGTATACCAGAAGTCTCTCAACGTAGGTGTCTCGAGATCTCCAAACGACTCGGATGGGGCCGCACTGGAAATTACCTCGACCTCGACCCATACGACAACCTCTGGCTCTTCTACGTCTACCAAATCGCAAAATAAGCAAGCTGTTTGCGATGAACACAAAGTTGTGATTGAGAAGCGATTGACACAAAAAGCCAAGAAAGCAAGAAGGATCCGCCGCACCCGTCTCGCCAGCAGCCAAAATAAGAAGTCTAAAAGCCAGAGCAATCCAAGCAGAAAGTTACGATTCCGCAAGAGAAATAATCTTCCTCCTAAGAAAGAAAAAATTGTGATGGATGAGGAGAGTACAATTATGATTGAAGAAGGTGACGATTGCTTTTTGATGACAAAGGAAGACTTTGATGACCTTGTCGACACCATCAACTCTCTCACTGGCAAACAAAAAGGTAGCAAAGGAGATGGACTTTGCGATTGCTATATTGCCAAGGACATTGTCGATTGGTTCATGAGCATGGGCACAAAGACGAAAGCAAAAAGTCCGGACAATAGCCAGTCGGCCACTGCCCTCATGGGGAGGATGGATGGAGCACAGCTTTGGAAGACACTCATGGACCACGATCCAACATCATCGGCAGCTCCAACTACAAGTTGCTTTGTCGATGATGACATGCGAGGTAGTGAAGATACCACTGATAGTAGTTTGACTGGCAGAACACCGAAGATTCGAAACACACACACGAAGTTTGCGGACGACGACATGGCAGTGACAACTCCGTCAGCGTTATCAAAACGAAAGAACAAGACAGTCCCCACCCAAGCGCCATTCATGCAACGCATTTTGGAAGATGTCAATAGCATGGCCATGGATAAGGGTCATGATGAGGATCCTTTGGAAGAAGACCCGATTGAGGTGGTTCATGCTGAGTTCCAGCCTATGGATATGATCCGAACCAACAATTTTGTAGTTGCCTACGAAGGGGAAAGCGGTCAACCGGAAGACATTATTGAGACCATGTTGGTTTCTGATGAAAAAAGTCATGGTGACGATGACCCTCATGAGAGTTTGGAATTGGAACAACAAGGTGATTGCGAATATGGGCGTGACCTTTGCCTCCCCGAAGATGGTGATTCTATTTTCTCTGTACCCATTGATGAAGCAACGGATGCCACACAATGTGGTGAGGGGTTCATGTTTGACATTGATCAAAAGAAATATAACTGGGATCATGGTCAGTACAAAGTGAATTCGAGAGATGGTGCGAAAATGCCCACCATTCACGAAGTCGACACGATTGTCTATGAGAATTGTTGCGACGAGGATGATGGCTTTTCTCATGATTGGAGTAGCATCACACCCGATAACACAGAACATAGCATTGGAACAGTGACAACTGAAACAGGTGGAGCTATATCTCCGGTCCGCCCTCCTGTCATGATGCAAAAAGTGGAGGAGGACGCCAGCAACCGAAAAGCAGAATTGAATCGCCGTCTGAAGGAGTTGGAAGCGGGATTGAGCCAACTCCAAGGAGAGTACAAGCAAATTCATCATTCAATCAAAGCTGTGGAAACGAACCTGCCGACATTACCCGCAATACGGTCTGATTGGGTAAGTAAGCACGATGGCGTGGAAGAGCACAAAGAAGAACAAGATGATCATTTCCTTGAGGCAAATAACGACGAGGAATACAACGAAGAAGGGGTAATGTCAATATAATTCAGAGAAATCATCATCCCAGATGCTGCAATAGAAATGTTGTGTAGACCATTTCGACAAAGACCGCCAGTTTGTCTAATATTCATTTCCACACCATTCAAGCGGGTGTTATGCGCCATCAGTGCACCGCCCTCCGACAGACAAAATTGTGGATTGGATCGGATCAATCGATGCATTCATTCGAAGCAGTCAACGAACACTTCCCTGCAAGACGTTCGTGTTTTCGAACCCTCTACGTAGCATGAAGTATGGATTCTACACGTGAACAGCGACACCAACAGCAGCACATTTGTTGGCATTCATCATCTCTTAAATTTGTTGTTAGTATTCTGCTTCACTGCTCTCGAGCTTGATCCAAGAATATACTTTCAACTCTTTCTCTTTCAAAAGTGAAACTTGGCTGTAGAAAACCCTCAATTCCCGTTTGAATTGTGAATTGTAGCCTCCATCCATCCACAGTAATACTTTTGTGCAGAATGATTCCTTCTGTATCCATGAGAGCCGCCCGTTTGGCAGCCTTCCGAGCTTCTTCTCGCCGACCTGCTCAACAAGCACGTCGTTGGGCAGGTGATATGCCCGTTCCGCAATCTCAAAACGCTCCATTGTGGCGCGGACATACTGTGAAGGAAGAAGGATGGGAAACCAGCATGTACGTTTATGCTGCCCTTGCCGTTGTCTTGCAAGCTGCCATTATTGGATTTGCACCAGAGACTTCCATTGAAAGTTGGGCTCGCGCTGAAGCCAAGGCACGATTGGCTTTGAAGGAAAAGGATCCAGACATGAAGTTCGAGTTTGGAACACATTACCAAGATTTGATCAAGCAAGATCAATTGGATAAGTGGACCAAGTTCTCAGATAGAGCCATTACTCCTGGAGAGGATGATGATGATGACGACGAGGATGAAGACGATGATGATGATGAAGACGAGGATGAGGACGACGAAGAGTAAATGCTATGTAGGATGAGCATATAATGCGAGAACGTGAAATTGTTATCGGTATTTTCACCGGCATATCTAAACTATCTAAACTCTCAATATTGCTATGAATCAATAGTTTGAATTCTTAAAACTTGTACCAGGTACGGTACGTGAAATGACGAGGTGGTGATATTTACTTCATCAAACACTGGAAAAAGTGTATTGTGCCATTTCAGTCGTCTCTTACTCTTCTGATGCTGCGCCTTTCCTATTCCCTGGTATACTTCTTCCTGCTAAATAGCCTCCAGCTTGCAGCCCGGTATTAGAGTGTTACTGTAGCAACATCAACCCGACCCGATCCCTTATTGTTACTATTATTATTTGCAAAAAGGATTCCGACTTCTTCGATCCATCGAATCACATGAAGCACCCTCCCCCCAGTGGAAATGATTCCCCCTTTTGGTCTGAGCGGGAACGTGCGATGTCCGTTCCATCTCCGTCGTTCTGCAGTGTTTAGGTAGTGTTTTGGGTTGCGCAGTGTCGTGACTGCACCTCTATTGCGTTTCATTTTCATCCCTCTATCACAATTATGTCCATGCCACACTGAATGCCACCGAGATTTGGTGCAGGGTAATACCGTATTGTGCGTGTGCCGTGAGAAAAATGTGGGATTTCTGGTGCTTTATATGTCGTTCTTGGCGCTACTGTGATGATATTTCTATATTTTATGGGGCCATTGGCATCGCATGTGCACGCTGCCGAAATCACAAACATACAGTAGAAGAGTACTCCTCTGCATTACATTTCATCGTCTTTTTGGTACATGGCTAGTTTGCGATACCGTATGTATATATGTATTGATTATGGCAATACACGCAAAATGAAACTTTTAGCCACAAGTACCAGTACCGGTGGTGGACACTACCGATAGCTGCAATTTCAAAATTGAAAAAAAAAAGACGGGCCACTTTCAACTTTGCAGAGGTAACGCGCGTTCTGTAGCCGCCGGCGAATGTCCGTGGAATTATAGTGCTATTTTAATTATATTCAATATGTACGCAGCACGCATACCGGAGGTACCGTTCGGGAGAGTTGTTTTACAACTTCAAAAACCGAGCCAATATTACCGCGGTGATAATATAAATTGAAGAAATATAGTTACAGTAAAATCTCCATTCTACAATATATCTCATCTCCCGGCAATCTCAAACAGACAAAGGCACAAATCAGGAGAACGAATCCCAAAGGTGAAGCATACAAGACTGTCGATAGTTCAGAATGGATCATCAAATACTTGATACTAGTACATCGGAAGAATATGAAGGAATCGATCAGTTTCGAGAAAAAATACTCGCAATCCTTCCAATTCCAAGCTCGATATTGAGCATAATAGGCAGCTCGGTAATCCTGTACATGGCCTTTTCCACTAGAAAAGAGCGCAAATGGACAACTTACACTCGACTACTGGTAGGGTTGAGCATGTGCGACATTGTTTCCAGTATTTCGCTCGGACTTGCAGCATTTATGCGACGACCAGAAAGTGAGCGAGTTTGGGCCATGGGAAACGATGCAACCTGTGCTGCAGCAGGCACTCTGATACAATTCAGTTATAGCGGTCTGTTCTACAACGCATTTCTATCTTGGTACTTTGTCTTGACTGTCCGATTTGGTGTCAAGCACGACGTCATCGCCAGAAAATTTGAACCGATTATGCACTTTATATCAGTTGGGTATCCCTTGGTAACCGCTATCCTTGGAGCAATTTTGGGCGTTTATGCCGAAACATCAACGGGGATGGGCTGCTGGGTAAGCTAGTCGGTCGATTCGTTCCTGCATTGAATTGTCCGCCACAGTGGACACTTGAGTGAATTCTCACCTATTTTGACACATCCTCCTCTAGGTCAACAACTATCCAGATGGATGTGGCGAAGGCCCAGGACAGGAGAAGTGCCAGTCGGCCTTCCTTGGTTTCTTCTATTTTGGTCTTCCCTACGTCTTTAGTGTTACATGTATTGACATTAACAATCTCATTATTTGGTTCTACGTCAGGAAACATCGCATGCCTTATTTGCTCAATAAGACGAAGCAGAGAAGCACAGCCCGTGTCAATTCATCGTTATTCTCGAAAGACAACCACGATGAGAATTCGCTATCCGACGGAATCGAATCTCTGGATAGGGAGCTACCCTCCTCCATAGGGAGCAATAAATCCTCGGATGGAATTATTGTCAACGAAACCGACTCCTTCGCTGCATCCATCAACCACCACAAGAAGTACGCTCAAGCCGATGATATTGACCACTCGGAGCGAGACAGCAGCAGTAGAGCAAACAAGGACCAGATGCGACGATTGCAGCTGGTTAGTTCCCAAGCCTTTCTGTTTGTGCTATCCTATGCCCTTTGCAATAGCTGGATGGGACTGCAAATGATTGCGGAAGGTGTGACTCCTGAAAAGGACGAGCCCAAATTGATGAACGACATTTATGGCCTCATGGTTCTCAACGCCATTTTCGCACCGCTTCAGGGATTCTTGAACATGCTGGTGTTTATGAGACCCAAATATGTAAAAGCAAGGCACCAATTTCCAAGGGAGACCAGAGCTTGGGCATTCCGACGAGCCGTCCTAGGAGACGGCGTTGGACCAGAACAAAGGGGGGCTCGCCGGATGGAAGAGCCCATCGATTCTATCCCGAACTCTGGATCGGCCACTCCTCAAGAAACACAATGCACCCTGGCCATGATGCGACCAGCAGAATCATCTACAAAGAACAGCATTGACCAGACCAATCACAGTGTTCCATTGCCAAAGGGTACCATGATGATGTCTTCCTTGACAGCCAGCCTTGGTGACTTTGATCATGATGGTCAAGAGGAAGGAATGAAGCCAGAACGAACCAAAGGCGCCTTTGAAGCTTCTTGTTCCTCCATTCCAAGATTTCACTTTCGCTCAAGCCTGGTAGAGAACACAAAAAGAGGTCTGGAAGCCATTAGTGAATTGTCCGAGTCGGTTTTTGATTTGAGCAACGGGGGCGATCGCTGGAGCTCGAGCGCTGATGTATTATCACCAATCACCACCAGTTTGGAAGCATCTCGTCGGTTTGATGCATTCCGAAACGACGATACTGTTCCATCTTCTGCAATGCGATTGGTGGCACCCAAACGAATGGATAGTGGCTGCTGCGAAGTCTTTGATGAAGTGAGGCATGAAGAAGATGGCATTGAACCAAAACGTGAGGATATGAAAGAAGAAGAAGAAGTGGAGGAGGTGGAATATGCTGTGGACATGCCAGTGCGCATTCCACTTCGCCGCTTGAGCATGGGCAAGAAAAGCCATGGCTCGCATTCCTTTCATGATTCCTGCTATTATTCCTCTTCAATATCCTCGTCCTGTTCACTGATTGGGTTTTCCGATGACGATTCCGACTCATTTGCTGAAGATAATGATGGGGATGGTGATCATTATGACTATACTTATCGGCATGAGGAAGAATTCAAAGCATCCGAAGACTTCTCGACTCCTCCAACAACTACCAAGGACGGTGAAGCTGCTATCGGGTAGTCGCGGGAATCAATTCAATACATCAGAAAAACGATAGAATGATAAAAAATACGGTAGAAAAGACGATTTTGTTTTGAATACCATAATACAAATCGATTTCCTGTAATGTTCAAAATAGAAAGTTGTAATATTTGATGTTTTGAAAAATGTTTTTTTTGGGGTTAGGAGTTAAAGGACTGTCTATATTGTACAGTAGGATTGTGGCTAGATGGAAGTGTTTTCATGATAGCATTCGTGAACGTGATGCATAGCTTGATGAGGGAACAACAAAACTGGAAATTCCAAAATTTGACCTCTCATCGATTGGATAATGGGGCTCATCATCATTCATCATCATCATCTTTTGACCACCGTTCGATTCAAGGAATTCCGGCGATTATCTTCAGATGATGAATCCCAGCTCTTGCATGGTGATGATCTGGCAGAGTCAATGATCAATTCCGTCTCTCGCCCAGCCAATAGACCTTGCATGAAGTTGTCCAATGCCGAGTTTCGCCTCGGTGGTAGTGATGGCTCTGCTTCTTCTTCAAGTATGGTTGTGATGGCGGAGCAATCGCTTCTGTAACTGAAACTCAAACTATCCATGCCAGAGGAGGATCGTACTGATGCATTCTTCTTACGTTGTTGCATCTTTCTTGTTGTGGAAGCTTGTTCTCGTGTACCGGTATTGTGATGTGAGAAGTGTGGTGATCACTTTTATTTCAAACACACACAATAATAGCTCGTTTGGTTGAAAGTTGTGATACCAGTGGATTTTTTTATCTGGCAGACGGTGAGAATTTGCGAATGACATTCTACGCAAGCGAACAGTTTGCAAGATCGAACGCAGTACGTGGGATGCATCCTACGTCAAATGTACGCTGAAAAGGTACCAATCAAGGTTGCGAATCTTTTTCGGAATCCTGTTAAATGTCAACAATGACCAATGACAAGAACGGATTCTCCACTTCCGTAGAGAACTACGGAGGTGAACATCACAAAGTTCACAAAAAGAACTTCGGTCAAGATTCGCTTCCAAAATGCCCATTGACAAAAGGAAGTCTGAAGTACGACTTCGTAGACAACGCACGTAAGGCGAACATTGCAGAATTCTCAAGCGAATCTGTTTGCCGTCAGTTTCTGGGA